TGATGTATATGTGTATCCTAGGTCATCACACAGTCTTGGTTTTTGTAGCTTTTGAATAAGTTCTGAAGTTAGATTGGGGTCCTTTAAGATGTAGATTTGGTGAAAGCTGTTATCTACTTAGCAGGAGGTTGACATCAGACATGCTATTGTCTGCAAGTTCCATGTCCTGGTTGTGAAATCGCTCAAAGCCCATTTTGTAAATTGGATCTGTGTTAAACATACAGCCAGGCATGCCACTTTGTTTGACAGAATGAACAAAGAACACATGGAAATGTGGCATTTCTGAACCTTGATTCTCCAAGTATTACTGTAGTGTTTTAACTCTTTTCCTGATTTTTTCTATCATCAAATGCCTCACTTTAACCCTAATTATTTGAAGGGGAATCTCCATCATTTGTGAAAGCCTGGTTTTAAGATGTTGATAAGAGTTCTTATACATGTTAAAATGCATATATAATTATTGAAAAGAAAGCTTGTTTAGCACCTACAATTTCTTTTTCAATACATTTACTTATTTATTTTACATCCTAGCTGCAGTTTCCCCTCCCTCCTCTCCTTGAAATCTTCCCCCCATCTCCACTCCCCAGTCCACTCCTCCTCTGTTTCTGTTTAGGAAAGGGCAGGTCTGGAGTGGATATTGACAAACATGGCATAAGTTTCAATAAGACTAAACACTTCACCTGTATTAAGGCTGGGCAAGGAGACCCAGTATGGGGAGTAGGGGCCCAAAAGTCAGTAAAAGAGTTGGGCACAGCCCTGTTCCTGCTGTTAGGAGTCCCACAAGAGGACCAAGCTACACAACTGTACATATATGTACATAGATGCTTAGGTCAGTCCCATGCAGGCTCTTTGGTTCAGTTCAGTCTCCATGAGCCTCTGTGAGCCCAGGTTAGTTGATTCTGTGGGTTTTCTTGTAGTGTCCTTGACCCCTCTGGCCTCTACGATCCTTTCTCCCCATCTTCTGTAGGATTCCCCAAACTCCACCTAATGATTGGCTGTGGACCTGCATCTGTTTCTATCAGTTGCTGGATGATGCGTCTCTGATGACAATTGAGCTAGGCACCATTCTGGTCACAGGAGATGGCCAGTCCAGGCTATGTATTTACTATTGCTAGGAGTCTATTTTCCCTTCCCATGGAGATTTGGGCATTCCCTCCATGAACTCTTCTTGTTACCTAGTCTCTTTGAGCACCTACTATTTTTAAAGAGCCCTTAGGCATTTGAATACGTTCTCAGGGAGACACAGCTGGGTGGAGACACCCTTCTTTCTGTGAGAAAGTATTTGATCAGACTTCTACTGTGCATATGTTGAGTCTCCAGTCTTTGATAAGCATGTTAATCAGTGGCCTTATCTATAAATGTGAGCAATATATTTTCCCATATGAGTTATCTAGAAGTCATAATCCTTGGGATTATCTAGCAGCTATCCCAGCTCAGATTGTCTATTGTTAAAGACTGAACTATATCCCTTTTAATGGTATTGTGAAATTCTAACCCAACATCCCTGAGAATGTGAGCATATTTGGAAACAGAGTCATCTAAGATGTAATCTAGTCAGTAGGAATTCCTGCCAGATTAAGACTGGCTCTAAATCTTAACTGAAAACTGGTGTCTATTTAAGATAAGGGACATTTAGAAGAATATATGTGTTAGTGGAAGTAGAGATTGAAGTCATGTATCAATAAATCTAAGAATGCCCAGAACGGTTGGTGTTTGGGTTTTTTTCAGTTGCCGTTATGAAACACCATGACCAAAAACAGCTTGGAGGGGAAAGTGTTTATTTTGCTTACACTTCCACATCACAGTCAATAATGGAAGGAGATCAGAGAAGGAACTCACAGCAGGAACTTGGAAGCAGGAACTGAAGCAGAGGCCGGCCGTGGAGGAGTCCTGCTTACTGGCTTGTGCCTCTTGGCTTTTTCAGACTGTTTTCTTATAGCATCCAGGACCCAGTGGGCAGGACCAACACTCTTCAATCATTAATCAAGAAAATGCCCACAGGTCAATCTGGTGGGGGCATTTTCTCAGTTGAGATTCTCTCTTCCCAAGTTACATTAGCCTATGTCAAACTGACACAAAACTAGCCAGAAAAGTTGGTGACCACTGGAAGCTAAAAGAGGTAGTACATTCTGAGACCTCCTGGAATGGCTGATAGACATCCTGATTCTGCATTTCTTCCGAAAATTTAGTTGTTTTATTTTTATTTTTAATTTAAGCTTTCTGAGTTACAGTAGTTCATCCAGAGCCCCAGTGAAACAGTCTACCCACCTTTCCTAATCTCTGGAAGCCAGACAAGGGCTCAGGCCTTGCTTTTTGTACACTGCTGATCCTCAGATCCTGAAGCAGTTTCCTCACATGTAGTAAATGCTTTATTTTATTGATTGATTGATTGAGTGAGTGAGTGAGTGTGTGATACAGCCTTCCAGCTTCATGATTTTTGAATTGTGAAGAAATCAAGCCCAAGTTGGCAAAATATATCACTAGTGAGGCAGAACTCGAACTCACTTCTAAAACTTCTGTCCTTGTCTCCATGTTCCTCCTCCTACAAAATAGAGGCAAGAGTCAAGTGGTGTCTTGAATCCCTTGAAGCTGAGAGCAGTGGTTCTGTGCAAATAGTTTTTGACTCCCAAGTTCAAGAATACTTACTGAGTGTGTGGTAAAATCGGGACACCTGGAGTTTGGTTTTTATTCAATAATGATGTGCACCCGCCCTCATGTGTTTCATTTGATGGAGGACACCACAGTCTTCACAAGTTAAATTGTTGTCCCTTGCTCCCTCATGCATGAAAAAACTGAAGCAACAAGTCCCGTCATTTGCTGGAGGTCATGGCCAAGAAGCTGCCTAACCTAGATCCAGTCCAGGACAGTTACAGGAAATACATGTACCACTTTCCTGTGTGTTCTGATTGTACTTCAAGTTCTAGGTGAACATCTCACCACCCAGGGAGGCCTCCCTCATGCTATGTACCTTGTGTTTACATGTTGCATATGGACCACAGCTCTGTATTCTCTCTACTTTGTCCATCTTCTAAACTGCCTCCCATGTCACACACAGTAGGCACATACTCAGTGTGGCTGAAGATATTAATAGAAATGGTGCCAAGGAAGGTACTTCACAGAAACTGGAAAAAATTCTTCAAAAGCATGTGAGCCAGTCCTATGGAGAGCTGATTGGAAAGGCCATGCGGCCATTGACCTTCTTGAAGCCCTTGATCATTCACATTCAAATCCCTTGGGCCCTTGCTAAAATTTTATTTTCCTCGACTTACTTCGGATTTATTGTATCAGACTTTCTGAGAGTGAAATCTTTCCAGCCTCATTACACATGGTATTCCCAGTGTCTGCAGCATCTTCTCCCGGTTCAGTATCTTCATCAGAAAAAAATCCTAACCTGTCAAGGTATTTCCTGAGGTTTATACAGAAAGCTGCAGCTGAGGTACCCTCTATATCTCTACCAAACATTTTGTATACGTGCTATACAGCTCTTTGCACACTGTGATGAGCCGATGTCTTTCCTTTAAGGCTCTTGTGCACATGCCTGTGAGTTCCTTGAGGTCAAGGTCTTTCACTGTCACATACCAAGTGCTTGGCATGGTCTCTGTCAGGTAGCAGGTGGTTAGTATTATAAAAAGGATGCACAAATAAAAAAAGATAGTGGAATTAATGAGTAATTAGGAACACTTAATTTATCCTCAAATTTCTGCACAGGGGCAGAATATCTCTCTTTTATTCAGCATTTACTTGAAGATCACATCTTGCCCCCCAAGCCTACCCCCTCAGCTGTTTTCTTACTTGCAGGCGTAAGCCACAGGGATGGGTAGGGATTGCTTGTCTTACTTATTGTGTTTGAGAAAGATGCAAATGCAGGGAATTTAGACATTGATGGGACAACAGCCCTTAGCCTCAAAAATAATTCCTAGCTAGCTTGGTGTGGCTGCTGTTGGAATGCAGGGAGAAAGCAGGAGTGGCAGCCAGTAATTGGGCAAATCACAGTATTTCAAACAAAACACACCCTTTTGGCAATCTAGGCTAACTATAAGTTAAGGAAGCCAACATCTATGTTTCATAAAATCTGGAATGTTTTCATTTTCTGATAGAATCTACGCGTGTTGTATTCATTGTGTAGAAGTTAGTAATGTGTGCATATAGATGGCACTTAATGAGCCCAGGGTCCTTTATAACCCTGCGCATGAGGAAGGATATGAGACCCTTTGAGACTTCTTTTCTTTCTTACTACAAGTTTATACAAACTTGCTTCATGTTTACACAGGCAATAACCAAGTGATTTGCCAAAAGGGTTTTAAGTTAGGACAGACTGTTTTTAGACTTTGATCATGAATTTGACTCTAACTAGCCAGGTGGCCTTAGATAAGACCTTTCTCTTATTACTTTTAAAAATATCCTTAATTACTAGGATAGAACAATTGAACTCCTTTGTTAGCTCATATCTTTATTCCTAGGATTTAATAAAACATTGTGCCAATGAGAGGTTATTTTGTGTGTGTGTGTGTGTGTGTGTGTGTGTGTGTGTGTGTGTGTGTTTGTGTATAGTATGGTCACTTCATATCAAGAGTAAATAAATAAAATGATACATATGAGAAACTGAGTGGCTGGTATATGGCTCAGTAGCTAGGATGCTTGCCACTCAAGCATGGGGACCTGAGTTCCAATTCCAAGACCCACATAAGAAGCTGGGTGTGGTGGTGCACATATGTAATCCCAGCACTTATAAAGGGTATGACAAGCATCCCTGGGGCTTGCTGACCAGGTAGCCTAGTTGAATCAGTGAGTTCAAGGTTCAATGAGAGACCCTGAGTTGGAAAATGAAGTGGAGAGTGATTGGACTACAAAACACAGGGAAGTATGCATTATAATTTTTATTGTGGAAGACTGAGTTGATGAGAGAATTGGCTGACCAATCCATTGTCTTTATAACCTACAGTCATTAATTGTCAAATCAGGAAAGTCTTATGTCATTTATTTTGTCTTCTATGGTACTATTTTGATGTCTGTATTTCATTATTTCTAAAATATAAGAATTGTTTAAAAATAATTATATAAAACATTGGAATTCCTTAAAACTATTAATGTGTCTAGTCAGCATTCAAAAATTTTCAACTGTATGTGTGTGTGTGTTTTATTTTTCTCCTTAAAAGAGTATAGTTAGTTCATTGAAATCAAGATCTCAAAAGGGTTTACACAATGCAATTACTTAATGATGACTAGGAATTAAATACAAAGCCTCACTGTTCCAGGAGAGTGTTCTATCAATCGCATTATATCCTCGGTCAACTTGATGTTGTCCTTAAGCCTCCTTTATTCTGGAGGTTCCTCATTTCTTCCCTGACAATTTTATTTCTTTGTAGTTTATTTGTCATGGAGACCAATTCACTGAAAGTTTTCAAGTCTGAAATGGCACTTTCATGCTGATATATATATGTATGTATATATATGTATATATATGTGTGTATGTATATATATGTGTATGTGTGTGAGTGACCTTTTTTCTTATAATGTAGTGGTTAACTGTAAAGGCTTAGTCTAATTCTGTCCATGTATGTGTGTGTGCATGCGTATGCTTGTGTGTGCATGTGCATGCATGTGTATTAACTATATACGCAAGGCTCTTTCCTTTGGAAGGGTAGAACTCTCTTGTCTTGGGAGATGCATTATACCTGGCTGTCTCTCTTCTAGTGAGATTAAGATGAATCTGTGAGTTTAGCTGGAAATGGATGACATTCACATCGCAAAAATACATCCCAAATCTGAAAAACAAAATATTTTATTTCTTAGTCTTGAAGATGCCTTTAAACCACAAACACATGAATCAATGTACAAGTATAAACAGTTACTAAACCAACCCATCTATTTTATTCACGATCACTTCGCATTTGAAAGCTCTCATTGTGTTTATTTTCTGTGAACTGAATTTGAGGCTTTGACCGGGAAGTCATAAATCCAGTCTTTGATGAAATATGACTTTGCTGAGAGGCCAGATTGGAAAGGGTCCCTGCTAATTTTTCTTCTTAGTGTGGTTTTGATATGTGGCAAGCAGTCCACATGTTTCAGGTCTAGCATACCACTGACTTCATCCTTCTAAAAAGTTTTTTCTTTCATGCTTAATTTTTGATGAACAAGGTCTTGCTAGGGACATCCAAATCAGCCAGGTTGCACAGGTCGCATCTGACAGGTGCCTGAGGTGTGGGCAGATGAACCAACGAGTTCTATGACCTGGAGTGCGGCCGCTTCTTCTCACTTTCCCCAGACACTAGTTAGGCCTAATACACTCGGAAGGTTGCTTGTCTAATTTGAACTGCAAGAGGCTTTGGCTGGAGGGTAACTCTGTGTCCCAGTGATAAAAGAACACATAAAACAACCCAGTGCCTGATCACTCTCCCTGACTGTCAGTGAATCATGTCTAATAGCACCTCCATGCAGTTTGCGCCAATTTGCTTGCAATGGCATCCTTTTCCGTGGGCTTGCTGCTCAGCAGGCCCTGAAGCAATCTATGAATAACTTCCCAACAGATGCTGTTTATGAATTGAAGCAAATGGCTTCCCTGTTTCTCTTTTTTCTCACTTCAATAATTTTCAGTTACATTACGATGAATATTTATAGTCCTGTAGCAGTGCATAAAAATGGAGACCAAGCAGACCTGGGTATTGTTTCATACGTGAGTGCTGTTCTAATGGGCTCTGGCTGACTAGTTTTAATAATGTTCTGTTGATGGACCGAAAAGAGGATGCAAATTGTAGATCAGTCATTTCCATTCACTGTTTTACCTGGATGGGCAGTGATGGAGTACTGGCTGCATCCTTCACTCTCCTGTGATACCTTCCCTCACCCAAACGACCCAGCCTGGAGCATGCCTGTCTCCTCTTTCTGCCTCTTCTGAGTAAATCTCAAATACTTCCACAGAGTCTTTGTCCCTAGTAGAAAAGCTCATTGGGCTAGTTGACCACCCTCTACAGGTATTTCTATTTAAGAGCCAAGTAGCTGCTGCAGGGGATGCCATAGCCCACAGAACACAGCATTTCACAGAATTGAAATATAAGTCACAAAGAATATGTTGGTTTTGATTTCCAGCCCTTTTACAGAAAGGTATTGAACCACATTTTTGACTAAAACGGCTTTTTAGATGTTTCATATTTCTATGCTCTTTTACATATTACAAAAATGAGAGGACTTATATCTAGTTATTTCTCCTAAATTTTGTTTGAAGGGAATTGCTCTCTCTTCAGTGGCTTATGTTTCAAATAGCTGGTATACCTTCCTGGCATTTCCCATTTTACAATAATGAGTTCGTTAACTACTCTATATTTTCCAGACCATTGACTGTGTCATATTGGCCCACATACAAATAATTGCCTGTTTGGCTATTTGCTTATAAATAAGAGTGTTGAAAATGGTATGTAAATATGTACATGCATGCATAGTGAATATATAGTGAAGCCTCCCAAAATATTTAAATTGTCCCATTTCCTACTTGTGTGTTATGAAATACTCACCAACTACTCAAATAGAACCGTATTTATTATGCATGCAAGCCCACAATCTCTTTACCAACTATCATTTGTATGCTACACACAGAAGGTTGTGCTGTAACACAACGGTAAAAATAAAAAAGGCAATTTGGAGAGAAGTACATTCCTTGCTTTAACTGCAGCAGAGGCAAAGAGTGATCTTCCTTTGATACAGTGAAGCATGACCCACAGTTCTGAAATATTCAAAGCATTAACAAAAAGCCCAAGAATTTAATATTTGATACAGAAAGGTTATTTTTAAAGAAAATGAGACATAGCAGAATGTCTCAAAGTGCTTGCCCCTCAAAATATGGAACTAGAGTCAATGGGAAGAATTTCAGGCCTGAACTACAAGGCCTAAGAATAGAACATGGCCCCTACATGTTGCCACGGTGCTTTTTTTTTTTTTCCATTACTGCAGTGCCCAGGCTCCAACCTGGGCCTTCTGCATGCCAGACAAATGCTCAAGCACAGTCACACCCTGGCCCTTTATTTGCTTTCAATAACACTAACACACAATGAAAACACTAACCTTAATATGGATCACAGGGTGTTAATGGGAACATTGTTCTCTCACCAGGAGACCACCAGTTAACAGAGATGTGACTGTCATTTTGGATGCTTGTATGCATATGTAACATTGGTGGTTGCACACAGGGGCATTTTTCTTGATATGTCCTATTTTCTAATTCACTGTGAAAAAAAATCTAGATCCTTGTTTCCTTTTTGTCCCTGATCTACAACTGGTCATTTTCCTTTTCCCTTGATTTCTAGTCCTTTCTTCCATTTGCTTTTTCTCCTATTATTCCTATATCCTGGAGATAGTTTGGAGTTTCATTGATTATGATTTTTTTACAGTACAATATGGGGCTTTATAGGGGAAAAGTCACATTTTCTCATGGTCTTTGTACGGGAATGGAAGTGAGTGGAAGGGTTGGGATGGTGATTATCATCAGGGAATGGACCACTTTTCAGGGCAAGGGTGTTGAGAAAATGTGGCTTGAATATGAAAGGCTGTGTGAGGTTTGGGTATCAGGAAGTTGTTGCTTTAGAACAAGCAGCTGGATGTGCAAGATGGAAGGTACTGGATTCCAACATTAAGCATAAGTTGGGAGCAGCAAAGTTCCCAAAAGGAAACAGTTGGTGACACTGGGCCAGCAAGATACTTCATTGGGTAAAGAAGCCCGTCATTAAGCCTGATGGCCTGGGAGGAGAGAACTGATTTTGCCAGCTGTCTCTGACCTCTGTACAGGTGTACACTGTAGAATATGAGCACACGCATGCTCACACACAAAATACATCAAATTAAAATGCAATTACATTTTTTAGAGGAAAACTTGGAAACCCTAAGTCAGAACCAGGCCTCACGACAGGGGTCTGGAACACGAAGAGGAGGGATAGATCTAGCTGAGTTTTGGTTCTCACTACCTTGAGAGGTAAGACTGATGGAAGAATTAAGGAAAGTCAATTGAAACCAACTTAAAAATATCAAGATAATTATCCCTCTTTCCTAAAAATACCTGCTTATTTCATATTCCAAATCAAGAGACAGACCTAAAGGCAGCACAAGTTCTGAGGACTTTGAATCTAGATATACGTATCACTAAAGGCCATCATATGGACCAGAAGACTCAATTGTCACATGAAGTCCAGATATATGTATCACTAAAGGCCATTCTATGGACCAGAAGACTGTATTGTCACATGAAGCCCCTAGAGCAGGATTGTCTAACCTTCTGGTAATGCCATGATGGTATCTACAAAGGTATCAGGCCACATTCATGCTATCCCGGGGCACTTGCCACCTGCAGGTTGCAGGATGGGCATGCTTGCCCTAAAGGATGGGCAAGACATCCCAATGGGTTTCAAACTCCACATTGACAGGAGGTTTCTGCTTGGCCTGTTTCCATCATTCTCCCTTTTCCATGAGGGAAAAAAAGCAAGATTTCACAGATCAGGTGGAGATTGAGACAGGGATTGTGGAAGTCATTTACAGAGGTCCTTGTATCTGTGGGTGCCCCCAATTCTAGAAAACTCAGGCAAACATATCCCTTTTATTTTTATTAAATAATGCCATCAAAGAAACAACTAGTAAAAAAAAAAGATACCATTTTTGTTTCTAGACTTTATGGATAACCTGTAGAGATAATTTAAAGAAATTGATATTATTTTTCACTGTAAAAGTGTGCTTTGATACACTGTGATATTAAGTATATTATTCTTTTTTATTGTATTCAAGGTGACTACATTACTGTTATATTCTTCACATCTATCCTTTCTCATCTTTTCTTAGCTGTTCCATCATATTCCTCCCACCATTTATTTGTTCATCTTTTATTTGAAAAATAATATATTTGCTGAGCAATGACTGACCGACAGTAGTTAGAGACTCTTTCTTTAGTAAATAAGATAGGATTCAAGTTCACCCTAAGAGGTACTGTCCCCTAAGAAGGTTTCTAGAAAAGCATAAAACTTGTTATGATATGACGAGGCAAATGCCAGAATAAGTCATGGCAGTGATATACAGCGGGCCTGGGTTGGTTGGTTAGTGATGGTACCACGGGTATAGACAGAGAGGTCCAAATGAAGGGGAAGCTAGAATCAGCAGAAATTCAGAATGATAGTGTTTAAAAGTTCTGTGCAGCGGGGGTTGGAAGTGTGAAGATCACACTGTAGGAAAGTTCCTGGGCTGGTCCTGAGATGAAAGAATGTTATGTAGTCTGGCATCATGTGCATTGGGTGTGTGGGAAGCCCTGGTGGATATGGGAACATCAGAGATCAATAGGGGAGAGGTAGTTAGATGTGCTTGGACCTGACTTGAAAAGGTGGTGTTACACCTTCTGAGTCCGTTATTCTGAGGGTAATGGGGAATCAAAATGGGTTTCAAGAGGATGTAATGACTTTTTTCACTATGGAACAAGTGAACACTGTATGACAGACAGACTGGGAAAGCCAGACCAAGGTCAGAGAGATGACTTGGAAAGTGTCCATGATATCCTGGTGAGGTGATGGTGGCTTGAACTGAGAGAGTCAAGAGAAATTCTCAGACTGGAATGCTATGTTGCTCACCAGCATTTTCCTTTATGATATGTTCAATTGCTTCTTGATATGGAAGAGCTCCCTAGGGCAGAAGGGCAGTACCAGCTTTTCCTAAATATCCTCAGAAAACTTCATTGTCCAGTATTTTCACACTTTCTCTTTTGTTTATCTTACCTCTTTACTATGCAGATCTTTCATATACA